CTAAGTCAAATGCGGACGTATGTCTGCAAGTAAACTCACTTGAGTCTGCGCTAACATTTTTTTCAACTGTCCTGCAAAGTTTTCTGGTTAGGAAGTAGTACCTGATTTCACCTGTCAGGTTGTAGCGATGTGGAATAAAGGATTTGTTTTTCCAGCGTGGGCCAAGTCAGATTTCTGGAAGCGCATCATCCCTTGTTCAACATGCAGGCCTAGTGAGACAGCTAGAGAAGGAAGATGGAGAAAAGGCTGCCAACTTCCCACTAACAAAGGAAGGGCCCCAATCCAGTTCTTTCTTTTAACCAACAGCTGCTGATACAGTCACCAGATGCTGCACAGACGTTTTACCAGGATACTTAAATGATGCTGGCCCTCGCCCTGGCTGTGTGGGCTCAGCAACGTACCTAAAGAGCAAGCTGTGTTGAGGGACAGGTGCTGCTCTAGCACCTAGAAGCACACATTTGGAAAAATACCCAACAAAACTGACAGCAGCTCTTCAAAGCAGAAACTGGTAATACCGTGTTAACCACAGTGTGTTTGTGCACCCATATAACATGGTCTCAAATTGATCCTGAACAGAGTTGGCTTTAGGATTTGTTAAAAAAAAAAACCCAAAACCTACCCCACCCCAAAAATTATGTTTATAGTTGCAACATCAAAACAAACTTTATATCCCTAAATTAGCATTTCTGGTACAGCATGCTTCAGTCAACAGCAGCTGAGTCTAGGGAGGAACAAGGAAGCTGATTTAAAGTAATTTTTCTCCTCAGAAACAGTAAGTGTGTTGTCTTGCATTACTGAGCTGTGGGTTTGTTTAAAATTGGGCATGTCTGTTTTACAAAAGGGTCTTAGTCATTCTCTGACAGCTGATACGACGCAAAGGCTGCTTGGTAAAGGAAAGCTTCTATTAAAAACATCTTTTGGGACTTTGCAATGATTACAGAAAGCTGTCAGTATAAAATGGTATTTTTAAAGAGACTGCTGATGTAGAAAACCTTTAGTTATGTACTTTATAAATAGTATTCCTAGAAAAAGAGCTGGGTGTTAGAAATTATTATGCTTCATTGATGGCAAATTTGAATGCTCTATTCTTACCTGGCATTAAACTGCAAAATTCTCTCTCTGTGTGTGATACTTTCTGAAATGATCACCTCCTCCTTTCCCTTTGTTAAATGCTTCACCCGGTATCAGACTCTGTACATTTACAGCAGTAAACATGCTAAAAGACCTTAAAGCTGACTTATAAACTGTTTATTTCATTGTTTGGTTCGCACTGGCCCTGCTCTTTCTTCCGACTGTGAAATGCCTGATCAGTCTCTAAGCTGTTTGCTCCCTGCACTGCTGGGTGATACGGCTGCTTTCAAGGAGGGGGCAGGATTCTCTCGATTGCTAGGATTTTTGCAAGTGGAGGGGAATTCGTGACCAAGCCTGAAACAAGAAGTGCAAGGGAGCCGTTCAGGCCCGTGAAGCCGATCCCCTGGTAAAACAGGCAAGCACCAGTAACCCGGGCCATGTGACAGCCAACCCTCCTGGATTTTCTGCTGGAGGGACTCCAAGTAAAGCAGCATTTCTACAACTCCCACTTGCCCTTTGGCTCAAAGGCAGCTCTAAGCAATGGTTTGTAAGAAGCAAAGTGCAAGTCTTCTCCAAGCCAAGCAGCACCGAGCACGCTGACTGCAGCTGGTACCTGCCATCCACACCTCGGTTCCTCTTATCCACCACCCCAACCTCGCCAGGCTGCGGGTATCTGAACTGGGTAGCGGACTGCCACTCCTTTGCTGTCACTGCTCATAAACAGGGTTTTGACACCCCCATCTTAGAAAATCCAGGGAGAATATCACGACAAACCTGGTTACAGGTAAAACTCATTAAATGGTGTGGTGAGCTGACCTTGGCTGGCTGCCAGACCCCTGCCCAGCCCTGCGGGTGGGGGGTCAGGGGTTCATAAACTACCGTGCTCCGTACTGCGCTGCGGGCATAGCAAAACTGGTTGGCTTCTGCTGGCTTGCCCTCTGTCTTGCCAGGATGGACCCGTTATCAAAAAAGGGAACAACCTTCACAGCTTATCTTTCTCCTCGCGTGGTACACGAGTGAGAGATTATTACGCTTAGTTCCTGCTCAGTTTCTTGTCTTAAGTAGCCAGGAGGTATGCTCCTCACTCAGAAAAGAGGTTTCACATATTTTATCTAAAGCTGAGATTTAATGCAAATGACTCTTTAATCTGTCCCTTTCCAAATGCAATCCAAATAGCTCTAGAGGGACTCGACTACTTAACAGCAGCATCTTTAAGAAAGGTTTCAAGAACTGAGAAGTGTAGTGAAACATGGTGCCTTTAGTGTTGAGAGAGGAAACTATTACAAGGAATTTAGTGGTTTGAATACCTGTTTGTTCACGACACACAAGAAAGTTACCACTGGAGTTTCAAAAGTAGAACACACGGCAACTTATTTTCTGTGTGTAATAAATAAAAGACAACAAAGTAACACAACCAGCCCTTTTATTCCAGTTATTTTACTTGCACACATACACACACACATACACATCCCCTCCAAGAATTAAGTTAAAGGTCTGAAAAATAGCACTAGCCATCAAAACTTATTAAAAAAAAAAATCTCAGCTTTTTGCATGAAAGAAAGGTTTCAATTTTCTGGCAAAAGATTACATGACTTTAGCTGAAACGCTGATTATGTTCAGAGGAAGAAAGGCATACTACCAGGATTCTCATTTGCCATGAACATGTAGATGAACATGTTTTTTGTTTTGGCAGAAAAATCTTATTCTGCACAGGTATGAAATCTTTCATACACAATGCCCTCCTCCCCAGTGAGTGGAGTATTTGCTAACAGGCTCATTTACTGCTACGAGATTTATCAGGTATGTTCTATTACAAATCTTTCAAAAGAAAGAACACAGTCAACTTGCTTTTTCCACATCCTGTGTTTTTACTGGGTTTAAATATGAATAGGAGTATTTTTCTTTAGATAGCATGCTGCTAGTTTTACAGTTCATATAAAAAGGGAGTTCTGCACAGCCTTACTCCAGCTAATCATGGCTATGCTCCTAGTTCACAGTGCTGGCTGAAGTAATAAAGAGTTACCCAGTGCATACCTGTCAATCATCATCCAGATGAACTGAAAAGTGCTTCTACAGGTAGAGGTGAGCTTTTTTTGGTCCTAGACAAAGTGTATCTTAAGGCTTTTGCAGTACACTCTAGCTAACAAGTACTCATCTAGGAGCATTAAGCATCTGTCTATGCATCATCAGCTTTAATCTTAAAAAGTAAGTTGACAGTTCAGCTTTGATTATCTGCACACATGTATGCTGACTGCTCAACACTAATAACATCTTTTGCTGGGAGCAATGAAATATTCAACTTAATCTTCAGATTTTTATAGGTTTCAGCTCTGTGGCTGAAGACCACTCCCCAGGCAAGCACATTTTTCCTGCAAGAAAGTCCAAAGACACCTTGATCACACAGGTATCCTGTGTATCTCCTGCAACCAAAGGGGCAGTACACCTAATGAGAGACAGTCACTCGCTGTCCTTCCCAACAGCTGTAAGAGAACCATAAAGTTGGTCCACAGAAACAGGGTACTGCTAATCAAAGCAGTGCAAGCAGCGTATTTCACTCTTAAGTATGATATTGTTAAATGACAGGGTGAGTGGCCTCCTCTTCCCCTCCGGCACCTGCCAGCACTCTCTCGTTTGTAGGCACTGTGACAGCAAGCAACCCTTGCTATGCTTCACGTCTTTGGTACTTGTTTGAAATGAGAAAATTAACAAGTGAAAATAAGTCTCTGTTCCTTTTCAACAAGCCAGTTTCAGTTTTGAGGCTTTGTTGGCAAAGTTTAAGCAGGGACAACAAACAATGCTCCTAAGAATTCATGCAATGAGTTGAGCACAGAGATTGTACAATCTCATTTGCAAACACTTGAATATCTACTGTTACAGGAGACAGATTATTAAAAAAACCCCAGGTTTTATCAAGTTTTGAGTTAAAACAAACAGGTAGAAGGAGGGCCTCTGACCAACAGGCACGTGTAAAGATCTATCCTGAAACATTTGTAACCAAATATTGTTTAAACTTGACAGTCATAGCCAATCCTCATGTTAAAAACATCAGTGAATTAATCTAATAAATTTATAAAAGTCTCTAGTAATGCAGGGAAATGATACCTGCTAAAGAAAAGGAGACAGACACAGGATTTTAAGAATTCTAAGACATCCTTTGTCTCTTTTTACGCCTCATTTTCTATTGCACAGAAAGGACAAAGAATAAATGTTTCTGAACACTCACCTACCCAATGATGTAACTTCTAAAAATAACATCTTCTCTCTTAAGCCAATGTTAAAAAAATGTTTATACCAGCCAGACATAATGATGACAGGTTTTGTTGCTATAGCATTTTTGCCAATGCCTGGTCGATGTATTCTATGAGATACTCTGGGTAAATCTGCTGCTTCTCAAAGACGACAAAGATAGAAGGGTTTGAAGAGTTATCCACGCAGCTGTCGTAGAAGTTTTGATTGTCCTTCAAGGGAGGCCGAACATACAAAGAATTACCAAGAGTGAACTCCCCCACCAGCACCCGTGCCAGAAACATGGTCTTGCTGTACAAGTCTTCCCTGCAGTAGTTGTCAGAATAAGATGCATCCCTTGCAAAATAGCTTCCTGCAGAAGAGATCCAAAACAAACTTAAAAAGACACAAATTCCAGGGAAGAAAGTGATAGTGTGAAAGCAAATTCATAAGCAAATCCATTAAGCAGTTCATGAACGGCCTTTCCAAAGCCTTCACTTGTCCTGTATGTCCTTCTTAGTGAAAAATGACCACTATGTATTACCTACACTTTTATTTTTCACAGCACACACTAAAAAGCCATACACAAGTAACGTTTTAAATGTTATCATATTCCTCAAAAAGTTCTCCTCCTGATACTAGATGTCCACCTTCCCCAATCTCACCCAAATTCCTCTCCTGACAGAGGCTACTAATATTCATTAGACTATTTCCGAGAGTTACAAATTATTCAATCAGATGTGTGGGTAGTCAGCGAGCCAGCCTGTCTCTTGGCTATTCTGGCTATTCCACTTGGTACGCTGACACTTTCCTGTTCACAGGACAATGTAAAAGAATATAGTTTGCTAACAAGGCAAGAAGCCTGTAACCAGGATGGCATTTATGTTCCTTGGAAAACACAAACAAATAATGCCACATTGCTTTCCTCTAGGTGCTTGGAGAAACTGGAAGTAAGCCTGGACTCTAGGAGAAACCAACCCTAGAACTGGCCTCTCCTAAGCTTCTAAGCTTGCCTTGTCTTGTAAGGACAGAGTGGAGCACAGCAGCCAAGGCCTTTCGGTATGCCTCAGCTCCAAATGATCACTGCCAAAGCCAGCTATATTGTCCACATCATCACAGAGACAGGCCCTAGACTGGCTCAGTGCTCTCCTTCTAACTTCATACCTTTGCAGTAACTACTGAGAATTTTTTAGCAAGTCTAGGGTTAATGAAGGAGCTGAAAACCAACCTTTGCCGTAGACTGTCCCATGGAGGCCACAGATCCTCCAGTCGAAGTTTTGCTGACAGATGGCATCGATGTATTTTCTACTGGTCCCATGAAATAAAAATCGCTCATCCACAGCCTTTCCACCATTTCTCTTCTGCATTTGTTCCTTTTGCCTGCAGTAAGAAGCAGTATCTTTGCAGTTCCACGGTGGCTGTACCCAGAGAGGTTCCAGCCACACTAGCAGAGACAATTTTACACAAAGAGTACATTCTGGTAATCCTTATGCCAAGGCCTAAACTTCAAGCATACACGGCATCTTACTGTCTAGCTGTGTACCAACACACTTTCATTATACACAAATGCCTCCAGATATTTAATAATAAAAATGTTTTGTTTCATGCACTGCCTATTGGGAGAGGGGGAGGAATCTTAGCATTATTTTTTTTTCTAAAGACAGGAGTTCATGTTAAGGCTTTCCCTCAGTGCGTTTTGCATTTAGTTTTGAAGGCTGTTTCAGTTTTGACCAGCTACAAAGCAGTGTTTGTGCCAGATGGCGCTGATTACCAGCTTCAAGGCTTCAGTGGAAGGCAGCTGTCCTGGACACGGGCCTGGCAAAAGACAGAACCACCTACTCAGGAGCAAGGATTCCTCCCACAGAGCTCATCTGACTATTCCATGTCTCGACTGAGTTTTGGTTTTGTCGTTACCTCTTTATCTACATGTTGATCCTGGCAAGGTATTTCAGTGGGGGAGTGGAAGCAGATTCTTAAATGCAGCTGCATTTCAGGAATGCATGTGTGTATCTTCAGCGCATAGCTAACTACAGAAACAACAAACTTCATGCACACATCCCAGGGCAGAATTTTACACATACCATTGGTACTGTTCCCAGAGAGACGGATTCTGAACTCTACAAATCCTTTTAATGACTGTTTTGGGCATTGTGCGTTGAAAGTCCACCTTGACTTTCTTGTATTCTTCAGAAGAACTGTTAAGTTCAATCAGCTGTAAGGAAAAGATTAAAAAACTACTGTCATCTTTTACTAAACCATAACAAAGCCACCCTACCTAGTGCACTACTCAGACCTTTAAAGTCTTTTCTGTGAAGCAGAGGTAGGAGCAGCAAAAATAGTGTTGGAAAAAAAGGCAGACTGGAGATCCCTGCTCTGTAAAAGCAAGCTCCAATCTAGAGAACATTAACTCCCGGAGTTTAAGACACCCAAGGTTGCTCTCTCACAGGACATTAAAGAAGCTGCATGCTTCTGTGAAGCCACCAGCCCATTTTAATATTTGGGCCAAGATACATTTGCATGCATATATCAAACAGTACCTAAATACAAAGAAAAAATGAGCACATAAATAAAATAGATCAGAGAATTTATGTTGCAGCAAATCAAAAACCTCTACACCCCTGCTTTTTAAATCTCTATAGTTTATACTCCCTACAGCCAGTCAACACAAACTGCATTGTCAGTTATGCTTTTAAATAAACTGAAAAGGCTTTATTCAATCAACCATTTTAGGGAAAATTAGGGACACACCGCCAAAAATCAGTTCCTTACACGGAAGTCCCGAAAGCAAGCAAAGTTTTCTACTTGCATGTTTTCCCTAGGAATATCAAGAATGTCGCAACGTCAGCATTCCTTATTTTTATTGACAGTTTCTTGAGGATTTGTATTTCACAAGTGAGTAATTTTCAAGTTTCATGTAAGAGGATCTTTTCTGTAGGTACAGTTACTAGAGTTGACAGAGGTGGTGCCGGAGGCAGGCAGGAAGTCCGCAAAGGTAAACCATGCGGATATTAACTGGGTGCGTCACAAAGGTAAACAAGTTCAGCCCGCTGGTGTTATGGTACATTTTAATAAGTGATCCCAGCCTGAACTGTGCCGATTTCAGCAATGCCCCATAGACATACAACAGCCTACTTACACACAGCTCAGGGAATGGCTACCCTGAAGCTTAGAGGCGTGATTTATCTCTGATGCTTCAGCACGTGTTGGACTTCAAAGCTACCTATCCTGGGCGATAGTGCATAGGCTTCAGGCAGATTTGCCACGCAAAGGGATAAATAGTAGCAGTGAAAGCCAATGTGGCTATGGTTATCCTCACACCATCTGTTAGTTTAAATTTGGGTCTAGTTCCACCTCTAGGTTTGCCCAGTGTGGTATCAGGCTCAAATTTACCGACACCTTTGCGTCACATTACATAAGAAACACTCATCTCCAAAGGCAGAAAAAGCACTGATCTTGTGATGTAACAAACCCGTATGCGACAAAACTGATGGAGAGAAAAACCAAAAAGCTCCAAACCTTGAATCCCAGTTCAGGAAGGGCAGATTTGTCCCAGTGAGCTGGAATGCCCTTAAAATTTTCCATATGGTTAAAGCCCCTGTACAAGACATTACAAATAGGTAATTAAAATAAAACAAATCCCTACATCTTATGTACATATGCTACTAAACATTTTTAGCCAAGTTTAGGGAGAATATAGGAAACTGAACATATTCAGAAATATTTCAAAATTGTCTTTTCAGTTCAGTAGATGAAAATATTTGTTCCAAATCATGTCAAGACTTATGGCAGGAAGCAAGATGCCAAATGAGAAAAAAAATTAGATACACACTGAACTAAACATGAAAGTAATTCTCTCAGCTGCAAAGAGTTGAATGTGTACATAAAAGCTCTGCTACACTGGGGTGGATAAATAAAAATGCATCCAGTATCGTATCAGTATGACAGAAATAGGATAGCTACAGCCCTCCCCTCTACTTCCACCTCAGTTTTAATTAGTGTGCTTAGCTGTTCTTTTCTGTGTTGTTTAAGCAAGCACTGAGTGCTACAAGGGAATGTGTAAAAACAAAAAAAAAGTTGGCTGTTACGTACAATCATATAAAACTTCTCCCCTTGCAGACTCCCACCTTCTGCTCCACCTATAACAACTACTGCTTTCCTCTCAGATTGTCGATTTGTTCTCAAAGGAATTGTTCCTGAACTTGTACTTTGCTTTGCAAATTACTGATCTCAGAAAGGGCTAGTAAGCCTAAGTGTTACTGCTTCCACCTGTATCAGCTGCTCTAATAAGACAGCTCGCTCTAATCAGCAGCTCCCTCCAACATGGCTACATGCTGAATTATCTTCTATGCTTCCACACTTCCTGTGGCCAAACCCAAACTCCCTTCAGCCTCAAGGCTCCCAAGTTGCTTGAAAACCATTGGCTAGGCTGCAACACTGCCCTGGCTAGACGTTGTTGTAGGAAAGGTACGTTCCTTCCCCTCTCAATTTTTTTAGAATTGCTTTAACAGTTACTCCTTCACCTTATTTACACTCTTGGAAGATGCTGCACTCACAATGCAATAAATCAATCACCTCAGATTGCAGAGCTTACCTTGCTCTTGTGTTTTCTACCTCTGTCTGAGAGACAAATTTAGGTCTTCTGCAAACCTTTCTCTCTGTTGTGTAGCGAAGGTTTTTCTGAATCATGGCTGGGAAAAAAAAAAAAAACACAACAAAAAAACCCGAACAAACCAAAACCCAACCCTTAACAATCAGAAAGGCATTTTAAAAAGCCTTCACACTGCAGCAAAACTTGCCACTAAGTGGTTTTGTCAAAGATGTTGACAAAAAGGCACCAAGCTTTTTTTCTTGCTACACAGAGGGAAGTCAGAGCAGGATGTGGAACCCAAGGTGTATCTGTATAAATCAGAGAAGGATTTCAGTTTCAGTCTTGCTCTTAACTTTAGAAGGAATAAGACAAGACATTGGTAGCTATTTTTGCTTCATTGTTCCATCAGCCACATTCAACCAAAAAGGATCTTTGTAAAATAAGTATCTACTTCTGCTCCACGCATTGCATCCCCTCCTTCTCAATTTGCAATCAAGATACTGTTCTCCTACATGCAGTTCTAGATTTCAAACCTTATAAACATAACCTATCAGCTATCACAGGCCATTCAATTTATTTACCACCAAAGAAGCAAGTCACAGCAACTTGAATTTTAGAGGCATTATTTCTGGATCTTGGAACCTTTGTAGCTACTACCACATCATACTAGCAACTAAGAGTCAGTAGCAGCCAGAAGAATGAGGCCTCATCTTCAGAAACAGCTACACAGGAAGAAAACAAACAAACAAAAAACCCTCTTGGCACCACCAAGCCTAGAAAATAAGTTTTGGAAGACATCTATATTGCCTATGCTTGCCTAAGGTATTAAAAAAGCCCAAACCTTAGAAGAGGGATTGATTTACTATGCAATTTTCCCTTCTAAGCCAGACAAGTTTTCCCAGCCTATAGAGAAGATTACAGCATTGCTTTCAACTGAATCACAAATAATGGAACACACACCCTTTCTGCCTTTTTTTTTGTCCCATACAGAAGGAGATAGCAACGGAGAGTTGGATCAAAGGCAACTACACCAAAATGACACTCTAGGCAGGCTGATTCCCACCACCACTGTTCCCCATGATTTTTGAAAACTATATCTAGAAAGGCAACAGCTCAGAGAGGACAGCGCCACCACAGGTGGCTTAAATTTCCTGAACTTGGGAAACACATCTTCCTACTTTGACATAGTCAATGTATTTCCTCAGCCTTTCCAGACAGGCACAGCTATGAAAAGAAAATCTCTACATAAATCTTGCAATACTAAGGATTATCTGGACCCTACACCTTGCCCAAGTATTCATTTTTCTGCAAGCCAGTGATTAAGGCAGACCAGAAGCTGGCTTGGCAAGTCTTCCAAAAATTTCTCACCATTTGTGTTAGTGCTACCATCAATGGCAGTGGCACATGTGGAGTTGCTGGCAGACATTTTGAAACCTACCACAAGAACTTCTCAAAAATAAAAGGTTTGAAGGAATAGGAATTCCACTTCACTTATGTGAACAGCTCTTACCCTGAGAACTTTGACAGAAGCTCTGTCTCTGTAAGCACTGCAGTTCAAAGTTCAAATTTCTCTCTCCTATTTCCTCTAGTAATGTAGTTTAAAACCACAAAAGACCAAGGAGGGAGGGACAAAACAAAACAACAAAGCAAATGGAACCTACCTCCAAAATTGAGTTCATATTCATGTCTTCCAGCTTTGAAGTTCAGCTTTGGAGAACCTTTGGCTATATAAGCTTTCTCCAGGTCATCACTGGAGACAGTGGCAGCTGCATGATCATCATCCTGTCAGGCCAAAACCAGAGAAAGAGTCTCCTGGTCTGTTGTATACAAGCAAGTTTAAAACCAACAACTGTCATATGGTATGGTGGCTGCAGTACGTAACAGCTTTGAGACATAATAGCAGCTATTAGGCAAAAGCCATGTATTGAGCCATTGAAACTGCCCCTAAAACAAACCAAGCTGTGTTATGAAGCCTAAACTCACACTGCAAAATGCATGCTGTGAACGCTACCTACCGAGACTGCATATTCACCAACTAGACCTTAGCAAAGACACACAGAGTACTACTGGAACCTCCAACAAGGAAGTTTTAGTCAGAAGCAATGAAAAGAATGTACTAATGTGATCCTATCTGACATGACTCACTGAAGAATATCTGTCAATAACATTTGTGACTCACCAGTGAGCACTCCCCTACCTGAACCAACAAAATTCACAGGGAAAAGATCCCACTAGGCCTCTAAAGTCCATCTATACAGTATGAGTGAGAGGGAGAGGGTGACAAAAGAGAGGGAGGATATAAACACTGTGCACTTTTTCACTAGTTCTGCACTTTCAACACAGAGTTGAGAGTCTCCCCATTTCTCCATACTTACTTTTTTTCCATACTCCCGCCACTGGCCATATTCATCTTTCCAGTACCAGACCCATTCTGTTGTAAGAATGAAGTGAGGGGGTTTGGTCACAGAGGAGGCTGTAGAAAGGCGTCTAACCTTTGCAAATCCACAGCACATATTCAGAAAACAGATATACGACAAGACATAGCCACTTTCAGTAACACCTTTATTAAATCTATAAAAAAAGGAGAAAAAAACCCCATCAGAACTGTCTGTGAAACTTTACTGTGGGAACTGCGGGTTCAGAAGCCAACTACAAATTTGCAAATTAAGTCAACATCACTCAAAAGCAGAACACGAACCTGCCCTTTCCAAAACGATCCCAGCTCTGTCTTGTGTTTGCACGTATTTTGCATTACAGTATTACGTCTCACATTGTTCCACAGGCAGAAACCATTATCAATTTGTAAATTAGTGAATTACGCGAGATGAACAGGAACAGCAGAAGAGGTACACTGCCATCTTCTCGCTAGCGAACTATATTCTAAACACTGCCGTAACTTAAGAGTGGCTTCAAAGAGCCTCTAATGTAACACAAGAAGGCTAGGTAAATTCTCCAGCATGGGACACAGCATACTACGAGCCCGCTCCAATACTCTCTTCGTGCTACATAACCAGTTCCAAACTCTTTAAATGTATTTCCACATTCTCAGTGTTTTCTGCACCCAAGAGTATCTCTCTCTCTCTCTAGGTACATGAGGTATTCTACCAGTTCCACAATATGGACTGGAAGAAAAGGGGACAGGAGGGGCAAATTGCATGCTACCTTTCCATCCTCCATCTCAAAAGGCAAAAGGGAAGGTTACTTCTAATTGTGGGGTCAAGCTGTGTATTGACAAGCTCTAACCAAAGACATATTCCCACAAGTACTTGTGATAAAATCAGCATTCTCTGCAGTTTTCCACTTAGTGAAAAGACTTCCTATAGTAGCAGCAGTAGGAAGTATTTATACTTTTTTTTTTTCCCCGCAGCAAATACTAGAGTCTACAGGTGTCATGGTTGGAACATGGCTGGCAGCCAAACACCACACAGCCACTTGCTCACTATCCCCCACCCTGGGGAATGGGGGAGAATTGGAAGGGTAAAGGAAAGGACACTCATAGGTTGAGAAAAAACAATTTAGTAATTGAAATAAAACAGAATCAAAATAATAATGATAATAATAATAATTGAATATATAAACGAGTGATGCACAATGCAACTGCTCACCACCCGCTGACCAACGCCCAGCCCGTTCCCAGCCAGCAATCCCAGAGAACGGAAAATCTGAAACCGCAACCCCAGAAGAGCCCCAGCTTCCCGGCCCACCCTCGTCTATATACTGAGCACGACATTGTATGATATGGAATATTCCATTGGCCAATTTGGGTCGTTGCTCTGGCTCTGCTCCCTCCCAGCTTCTGGGGCACCTGCTCACTAGTAAGACATGGGAAGCTGAAAAGTCCTTGATTTCCTAGCAACAACTAAAAACATCAGTATATTACCAGCATTCTTCTCATACCAAATCCCATACTGAATCCAAACCACAGCACTATTCTAGCTACTAAGAAGGAAAATTAGCTGTATCCCAATTGAAACCAGGACAATGGGTCAGTCACATAAAATACCTGTGATGGATTGACCCTGGCCAGCAACCAAGTACCCACACAGCTGCTCACTCACTCCCCCTCCCCTGCAGGACAGAGAAAATAGGAAGGACAAAAGCAAGAAAAATTGTAGGTCAATATAAAGGCAGTTCAATTAGGTGAAGAAGGAGGGGGTGTAAATAAACAAACAAACAAACAAACAAACAAAGCAAGTCACTCACCACCTCCCCAGGCTGTCTAATGCCCAGCCAGCCTCCAAACAGCAGCCACCTTGGTAACCAAAAACCCAACCCTCTTGTTCCTCTGCCCCAGGAACACATGGCTGAATATGACGTTATACAGCACGGGAGATCCCTTTGGTCAGTTCAAGTCAGCTGTCCTAGCTGATCCTCTCCCAACCCCTTGCCTACCCCCAGCCTGCCCACTGCAGAGCAGCAGGGCAGACTGGGAAAAAAGAGAAAGCCTTGACTCTGGGCAAGCACCGCTCAGCAACACCTAAACATTGGTGCATTATCAGCACTGTTTTAGTCACAAATCCAGAACACAGCACTATACGGGCCATTATGAAGAAAGTAAGCTCCATCCCAGCCAAACCCAGTATGGTAACCCAGAGTGGGTCCTGTACGGACTCCAGGCATAAGTAAGTCACAATGGATCAGATCTCCAGCAACAGCAGATCAGCAAAGTGTGGTCAGGAGAATACCGAATGAAGAGACTTATGTAATGACTGCAATCGAATCGCAGCAATTTATAGCCACTAAGGGCATGGTGCAATACAGCACACTTCAAACATTATTAAATTTTAGAAGAGTTTATACCTGGCATTATTGGGGTCACAATATGCTTTTTCTATTTCTTCCATATTCTTCAAGTCCTTCCAGGTATTACCATCAGAGATCTGCCATCTATATGGCAAGTGAAAATGAGTTCTGATACACTTGTCTATAGAAGTTAAAAAGAAAACAAAAAAAAGAAATATGTATTATTTTTACAGGCTATGAGAAAAAAATCCAACATCTCAGGGCTGTACACCTAGCTAGTGAAAGCATCAAATGCATAGCTACGGAAAGCATCCACCCCTGGAATCATTACAAGCAGCAGTTCAGAGTTTTTCAGCGTGAGCAAATAAAACTTAATTTTTGAGCTTAGGCAAAAGTTCAATTTCTGTACCTACTAGATTCTCTTTGTGCATCAAAATTGCTAGCAGGAGCTCAGTGGTGAAGGACCATCCAGTGTTCTCAGTTTCAGAGGCAAATACTTACAATGAATTGAGACCACCAACTCATACAAGGTTATTATTTCATATATAGAATAACAACATAGACTCAAATCTCTATTATTTAACCACTATTTAACCACTTGGTCCCAAAGTGGTATTACTGAAGGAAAAAACAAAACAAACACCACAACACAACAGCGCTTACTTTTAGGATAGGAGGTAGTTCATTTAGAAACATCAAGAAGTCTCTAAGGGTCCAGGCCTCACCAGGAACAAGAGATAGTGGCCCAAGTTTTTCCAGTGGCTCAGGTATCACAAGTGTTACTCAGAAATCATTCAAAGAGTCAGTGTGCAGTCACTTCTCAATAGTAGTGAAGATCACATCACCAACACACGTATACTTAAACTCCAGGCTAGCTTTCATAGTAGGACAACAGGCAACTTATCTACAGGGAAGGTCAAGGAGACTGCACCTCACAGTTCATATGAGAAGGTATGCAGTACATCAGAGAGCTATTACAGGTCAAGAACATCAAGAAGGAAAAGGATGACAAAAGGACAAGAAAAAAGCTGGCACAGCAGCCTTCTTCCTGGACAACTTGGAACACTTTGAAAGGGAGACAGCTCAGACAGATGGAAGAGAAAACTGCTAGAAGAAAGAAGGGACAATGTAGAATTCAGAGTCCCTTCTGTAGCTATTTGGAAATGAGACTCCTGTCATCCGGCAATGCCTTAGGTGAATACAGGTGGAGTAGCCAATCTCCAGCCCGGGCGGATATTATAGATTTCAGAGCAAAACCACACAGCTCCTTTGTTCGGTACACCAGGCAGGTCAAACGCCAGCACTCACGATTACAATGAGATTTAACCGAAGATAAGCATAAGCTCTGAAGTTTCCCCTTTCTGTGAAAGATGTCTATCACTTTATGAGAAAATGAAAATAGACTGGACTTCCTACAGTCACAACCTACCTTTAAAGCCACAACTTCTGTACAGATGATATAAACAGATCTGTTCCAATTCATCATCATTTGTAGTTGAGGACTCTTGGCTAGAGCTGCGTTTTCTCTCTAGAGGGGGGAATCATAAGCCTTATTAATACACTCTGTTTCAACAAGCCTTCTTAAAAGTGCACCTTTAGGAAGATGTCTAAAAACAGTGTTTATAACTACGTAACTGCATTCAGCTCCAGAAAGACACTGAAGTCTTTGATAACCTTGCATATTCAAAAGTCCTATCCCTTTATCCATCCTTTCTGAACTTGGCTTTCCTGTAACTGCTAAATTCCTCCGGCAGTTTTTAGCTGTTACCACAAAATAAGAACAGAACTCAATGCCTTTACATTTCTAGATGGACTTGAGTTAATCATGCATTCCACATAGCTGTTCACATCAGCAGCTATAAAATCTGACGTCTCAAAATTTGGTATTTCTGTAAATTAAACCACACCTAAGGAAACAAAGAAGGGAAGAAGGAACTTCTGCAGGGAGAATAACAGATATGGACACACATACTTGGATTTTCCATTCTGTTATCCTTTTCTTTCCTGCTAAATCATATTTATCCTGCTAAACTCTAAGGAACTTCAAAAGAAAAGAACAAACAAAATATTACATCTCTGAGAAGTAATTAGGATAGTGCTGTTTGAATTCTTGTGCTAGACAGTCACTACATTAAAGAAAAAAATGTAGTTTATAATCACACAAGTAAATGCCACCCCTATTCTCAAACAGTCTTTTACCCTTGTTTATGGTTTTTATCAATTTAAAAAAAAAAAAAAAGATCTCCCTATTTCTGGTTCCTGTTATGCTTTTCTAACCCCAAACTTAAGACTTTTATAAACACCATGCACTTCACTTGTCAAGACACAAATCTCTGTCAATGAGATAGGTGACAGGTCCCTCCTAAAAGACACATCAAGATGTGAACTGAGTTTTCTTTTTCTTAATTGGAATAAAGAACTGCTGACCAGCCTTTAGAGATAGGAAGGAAGGCAAATTTGTACTAACCCTTTTGCATATATCCATTGCCGACTAACAAACACTTTAAAGATAAGAATGAAGCAGAATCCGCCAAGCGAAGGACACCAGGTGGAATCCTCCAATCAGGCTGTGGGGCTCAAGGAACACAAAGGACTGAGCAGGAGAGATAGGGAGGGCAGCTAGCAAGAGCTGGTTCTGCAAATTGGAAAAGACCCAGGATGGTACAGGGCACGCGCCACAGGACAAGTTCAAAAGTTCAACCCTGAGGAAGACTCGGACCTTCATCCCCAACGACCACCAAGGACCCCCGATGGGGGCGTAACTTGGGTGGACTGAGGCGGGACCATGGGAGGAACTTATGTTAATAAATTCCTGGAAATAATTAGAGTAATCCAACCTTTTCTCAGAAATGTAATGAACAGACATGAAAGCTGTAAATACAAGGCAAGAATCCCAACGCTTGGGCACGCACGTATGGAAGGAGCTATCCCCCGTGCTGCCCGGCACCACAATAAAGAATATCTGCTTAGTAACTGCTTGGTTGTTCTGGGTTTTCTCCGATTCATAATGGCATCTATAGCGACTCTTCTTTTGATATTTTCAAAACATTTTATCATTTACCTTTGCATGCTGAAGACTTGGTATCTTCTATGCCATACATGCTCCTGTTGCCATTTTTTATGTCATGCATATTCCTATAAATGGAAGGTAGTTTCTCAATAATGTTTGAGCTCATTCCTTGTCTCTCCAGTTTCTCATAACATTCTGACTTCAGTAAGCTATGGGATCGCTTGCAGCTGCTGCCAAATCTGCACTGTCCCCACAAAAAGTACTGGCAAACATGCAGTTTGGTGCAGATCTTTTTATACACACAAGATCCATAAGGTCCATCACCTTTGTTATAATGCAAGCAGACCTTGGATGGAGGGAAAAAAAAAGATTTAAAGATTAAAGTACAATGTGCTCATATAGACTGTTTGAATTCACAATTTTTAAATTTTGACAGCTACACATTACATTTGCATTTAAAAGACTTACACGAGTTTCTTCTTTCTTCTTGTTTTCCAAATGATTACTTGATAGTTTTTCCTTTTCCCTGCTAATGTCTAGAAAGATCTTTCAACAGACAACCACCACCTTACCGACATTCTCAAGCAGATGCCATTTTGTTCTAAGTCACATAAATGTAGGATAGTGGATTTTATTGTGACACTACCCAAAGTCTTTGGTTTTCTAGTTTTGGAACAGTGAACTTTTTTGACCTGAATTCGATGGTAAGAAGTACTGGATCTGCCTGGGATGGAGTTAACTTTCTTCACAGTGGACATACCATGCTATGTTTTGGATCTGCGACCAAAACAGCATTGATAACACACCAATGTTTCAGCTACTGATGAGTAGTTCTTGCACAGTGTCAAGGCTTTCTCTTTTTCTCCACTTTGGCCCCTCACCTCAGGTAGGCTGGGGGAGGGCAAGAAGCTGAGAGAGGACACAGCTGGAACAGCTAGCTCAAACTGGCCAAAGGGATATTCCATGCCATAGCATGTCATCCTCTAAAATAAGAAAAAAAAAAAAAGGAGGGGGTGGGGAAGATGGGTCCTTCTTCCAAGGTGGCACTCACTGAGAGACTTGTCGGGAATCGGTCTGCTTGTGGGATGTGGTGACTAACTTCCTTTGCAAGAAACACTTGTTTCCTTCCCTCTTTCCTCCATTTGCTAAACTGTCTTTATCTCCATTCGCAAGTTTTGTCACTTTTGTTCTTCTTGTTTTCTCTCACTTGTCCTGCTGGGGGCAGGGGAGAGGGGAGTGAGTGAGGGGCTCTGTGAGTGCTTAGCTATCAGCTAGGGTCAACCCACCACAGAGGAGAACAGAGGATGCAGATTTAAAGTTTTAGATTTGCATTATCCTAACTAAAATGACACCTAACATCTCCATCTAGTATCCAGCCTCTTCCACTTTGTGATGCTCACTGAAACACAAGGCTAAGAAACTGTCACAGTACTACTCACCTCTGGTAAGAGGGAAGGGTCATTCTGAAGCAGAAGCTGGCGAAGTTCATCACTGGTTAAATTCTCCAGTCCATATTGTTTTAGAACACAGAGATTGTGGTCGGAGTGGAATTTGTGAACAAACTTGCATTCCTTCCTACAAGTTAAGAAACCCAAGTGCAAAAATGAGCGTAACAGACTAGCACTATTTTGCTAGTGTATTACACTAAACAGTTTAAAAAGCACACCAAATCAGCTAGTTTCAGAAAATCTGTAGCACTCCTTTATAAAGTAATTATGTTATTTGCTAAGCAGATTACATAACTACTCTGAGAATAATTGCCACGCTATTTCTGATTTACAGTCATTACAGCATTAGTGTAACCTGGCAATATTGGCTTTTTTGACCTGCAGCTCACAACCATGTACAAGAGAACAGCAAACCGCCGGAGTAAGGCTCCTCCTGACTCGAATCAACAAGCACACTTCCCAGCTTCGCGCAAGACAAAGCGCCCAGATTTGCTGCGTTGGGCAGCCTGTGTGGAGGGAAGGGGGGCGGGGGGTCGCTAAGTGGAGGGGGGGAAGCGCCAGAAGCCAGCTGCTGAGCTGGGGAGGAAGTGTTGCAACCCAAAGTCTGTGAAATCTGGGAAACCGTCTATGTCTCCTTTGGGGGGGAAAAAAAATATAAATAAAAAGGTGGGGAAAAGGGGCACTTCCGACACGGAAAGGGTAGCAAGGCCTTTATAGAAGCCTCGTTCCACAGAAGGGGGCACACCGAGCCCACGGCCGAGCCCCCCGAGGCAAAGCCCCCCTCCCC